TGCCAGTGATAAACGGGATGCAGGGCTGAGTCCGCCATGTGGCAGCACAGTGGGCTAATTCATCACGTGGCAGAGAAGCGGTGAAAATGGCAAAGTTAATTAGGCAGCACTTACGGTGAGGTGGATGCATGTCAGCAATTAAAAGTCAGATGGCATATCTAAGGATCAAAGGAGCGCACAGGGAAAAGAAAGTGCAGCGTTTGAGAAAGGATAGCAGCTGTCAGGGTTTCAGGCAGAGCTCAGGAGGTAGCAAGAGGTGTGCTGTGTCTGGGATCAGTCCTTTCTAGCTTGCTGGGGTTTCACTGGGAGCCCTGTAATTTACTGTTTTACCCATTATTAGGAGCAGCAACCTCAAATCACTTTCCTTGTGCCAGGATCTGTTAAGAGTTTTTGCCCCCTTCCTTCTTTTTTTTTTTTTTTTTTTTTTAGAGTTTTTTATGTGAACCTAACTTTTGGTATGTAGGCAAGGAGGGTCAGTGGGGATAGGCTGCTTTTTACATGTTTAAGGAACTTGTCCAGCTTTCACAATACAGCTGTAGAGCACATGCTGCATCAATCTCAGTGTGAGCTAAGAAAATGCAGCCTTTCAAGACAGTATCACCTCCATGAAAGTAAAAACTTTGTTGTCCCAACTTCAGAGAAATTTAGAAAAGTTTTTAGATGGTAGGTTTTAGGACAATGTACCGTCTTTCTTAACCTGGAGTTTAAAACAGAAAGAAAGACATGATGTTCTCCCATCTGGTTAAATTAAAATAGCATTGGTGTGAGATCAAGCTTACATTGTAAGCTAAACATGAGCTGGAATCTGATCAGAAGTTACTGCTCCTACGAATTTTTGCTGTGGTAAGGAAAGGTGCCTGCAAAAATAGGAGCCCTGATCTCACAGAGAGAACTTCTGCTGTTAGTTATTAAAGATGTGGAGTTTGTCGAGGACTTGGCGTCTTCTAGTTAAAAGATGCTGTGGTCATGGTTGCATCCAGTTTAAAAATGTAGTGCAAATTACTACTGTAGATTGGTCTGCTTGATGTAACTCCTAATAAAATGGATCAGCCCAGTTGGAAACTAGCCAGCAGGCAACCCAAGTTTGGTCACATTAAGTGAGATACTTTTTTAACAGAAGGTGGAAATTAAACACTTATTCAAGTCTTGCAGTCTTGAGTTGGCAGGATTTTCTTGCTGTGTATCCATAGTGTTACGGCCTTCTCTTACTTTAGGTGTAGTGACACCAAGGGGGAAAAAAAGAAGCTTGTGGAAAAAGGTATGGTTAGAAGGATTTTGGCTAATTAGAGTGGATGTAGGGGCAGTACAGCAGCGAGCCAGCAGAGCCCTTTGTAGAGTGGTGGAATGGGAAAAGCAAATCAGTTTTAGAGCAGGGATTTTGCTCAGCAGTCTACATGGGAGAAGGGTCAGCCTCTGCCAGCCAAAGGGGAGGAGGCAGGAGCAGTTCCATCTGCTAGCAGTGGCCTGGAAATGTGGGCAGCACTGAATGGCAATTGGGGTGCCAGGTGTAAGCAGCAGCCTCTTCCTGTGGCTTTTGAGGAGGATTGCTGGTATCCGGCCTGCAGGGCTCAGCTCTCTCCTAGGCTAGGATGCCCTGGGGAAGCTGAGCAAAGTCCTGCTGTTATGATCCGCAGTGCTGTTGTTTGGAGAGGGTGGCAGGGGTAATTGCACATTTAATTCTGACAGCTGCAGTGGAACAACACTCACTAACCCAGGAGTGTTTATGGGAGCCCACCAAGGACCAGAGTGTGAAAACTCTGGTGCATGGAGGGTTGCATGGGAATCATGATCATGAGCCTAAGGGCTAAAAATCAAACACTTCCCTGAAGGGTTTGAGCAAGCACCTTGGGGTAGAGGAGAGTTATAAAAAGAAAAGGTTGAGAGTTGATTTTCCAAGAGCCAGGTGGGGTTTTTTGGCAGCTGTCTCATATTAAGCTCCATGCTCAAACAGTGCAATTTCCTTGAGCTATCCAAGCACTTTGTGCAGCCCTACTCAGTAAAAGACTAAGTAATCACCACAGCCATGAATGAATGCTTCTTCTGTACTGATGGTTGAGTTCAGCAGTCACAGGACATCTTGAAAATTATCTTTCCAGAGTTGTGTCTCTGTTTTTATATTTAATTGTTGGTGTGTGTATTGTGTTTAGGGACTGGAAGCTGAAGATATGAGGTTATTTTCAGTAAGATTCCTCAAATTGCATTTGCAATGAAGTAGCGAACACAAGATCAGAAGACCTGTGCTTGTGTGCAGATGGAGAGGAATGGGAAGATGGGTCCTCCCTGTGCTCTGGATTTGTAGAGTAGAGCAGCAGCTCACATTTGAAGCTCTCAGCTCTCTCTGAGTGTAGCAACAAGGTTCTTACCAAATGTGGAAGAAGTTGCACCACTTGTCATGACAGTACTGCAGTGAACATCAGAGGGAAGCAGGGCTCCTGTAGGCATGTGCCAAGTACGCAAGTACTGCTGGTCAGGGTCAATAGGGTGGAGCTGGTGGTGGTTGCAACATCCTACCATCCCTGTTGAGGTGAAACACGCCTGTCTTGCAGAAGGAAGAAAATCCTTTATTCTTTTTCCTGGCAGATTCCTTTGATTTCCTTGTTTCTGCTTCCAAAAGCCAAGGTTGCCTTCTGGGGAAGGAGGGATATAAAGCCTGTGGGTAAACATGGAAAGCTAAACTTATAAACAGTTTGTTCTAGATCTTTGTTTAGCTGTTGCTGCAGCCAGTCTGTGACGCATGGGCAGCACATGTGGACAGAAAATCTCAAAAGAAGGTCTGAAGTCACCCTGCTTTGGCAGGGTCCAGGGCTTTTGTACTGTCTTGCAGGCAGGTCCAGCATCCACCACCTTTGAGGGTGGGGAAGTCTGTTGGTCTTTTTGTGCTCTCTTCAGAGTGCTTGTGTTACTGAAGGAACTAGTTTGCTGTGGTTTTGGTGCTTGAGGCTTCCAGCAGCTTCAAGATACAGGGCTTGCTTGAAGGGCCTTCCAGTCTCTGCACATCTGTAGGCTCAGTATGACCTCTCATTTTTTAAAAATGTTGTGTAATAATGAGGATAATTGAAATGTTTATCTAAGCAAACACGTGACTGTCTGTTTCCAAGCTGGTCCACTGCTTGAAAAGAGTTTCAAAGTCTGCAGCCCTTACTTTGTGCAACGTCCTCATTTATAACCTTCTACAGGGAATTACTAGGGCATGCATAGTCTACCAGAGCACATTATAGATTTTTAAAAGTATCTATGAAATAGTCACTTTTGTTTTCTCCATGTACAGCTTGGATTGTTTAAGCGTAGGGAGAGACAAAACTCTGGCTGGATGATGTTGAGTGTATATATTAGAGTCTTCAGAAAAAGTTTTATGGCAGATAGAGCTCAAACTGAATTAAGTTAAAGAAGTCCTGCTTCTTGTTTGGGACTCAGTCATAAGAAGTGCAAATTCCATGAAGTTCATATTGCAAAATAAGTGATATCACATTATACACTCAGCTCTATTGAACGGCTGAAGCAGAGATGGGGCGTCTTTGGCAGCATGCAGTCTTCTCCATGGAAAGCAGCTGTATTCTTTCCTCCACGCCCTGGGAATAGGCTGCAGCATATGTTTCCCAGTGCAACCAGCCGGCTCTGGACATCTATGTATAGGGAGTGAAAAGGTCTTGGGTTTTCAGCCCTTTTGGGTGGGAATTTTTAGCATGATGCTGTTATGTTAGAGATTGCCTCATTGGAAAGGCTTGGTTTGAGATGTTTTGCATCTTTTCTGAACCGTTCAGCCGTTACAGGATAGATGCCAATTCACACAGACTCATGTGAAGTTTGGGCTGCAGCTGTGGAGAAAACTTTCCTGAGACTGAACTACATCACCAATAGTTTTCTGAAGATGTTTCTCTGTGTGTCTTGCTGTCACATTCAGTATAGCTTCTGAATGTTTTTGAATGTATTAATTAATGTTTTACTCTTAAGGCATTATATGTAAGTACTAAAGAACTAAAATACAAATGCAAAAAAATGCTAAAATATGTATGTGCAGTACAAGTCCCATAATTATAAAACAGATGTATATCTATTAAATTTCTTTTTGCACTGTTTCTTCAGTTGTAATTTCTCTTGGACAGGAAAAAACTTATCAGTTCAGGTTACTTGCTCAAGTAAACCCAAGTCATATATTTTGACAGCAATATCAGGAAACTGAGGATTTTGTGATAAAAAAAATTCCCACAGCAGTGTTTGACAAACTATTGCTGAAAGTTATTTCTCACATTGGCGTGGTAGTACATATATGTAACTATAGGAAGAGGAACTCTTTTTAAATTCTTTATACTAGCTAAAGTTTATGCTAAAGCTTTTGTTATCTTACTTTTAAAATGTTAAGACATTTAAAAATTTAACCTGTGTAACTTTTTAAGTGTTAGAAGGTGGAGCCTGTAAAGGAAATGAGAAGCAAACCCAAAGGGAACAGACATGTCTGAGTAACCTGAAACTCATTATAAAGCTGTATTCAACAGGGACACATCATTATAAAACATTTCTACCATAAAATACCAAGTTGAGAAATCTTGAAAGCAGGAGGTCATTTGGCAATCTGCTTGCAGATGGGAAGGATCATAGTGTGGACACTGACTCACCATCAAAATTCATGAGCATTTTGTGATGGGAGCCCCTCCTGACATGAACTGGGATGTCAGCTGTTGCTAAATGACAAGGTAGTTTGGGTTATGGAGATAAAACTACCCAAATGTTGTTTCTGAACTTGCAGAACTATGCCAGGAAAAAGTAATCAAATTATATTCATGCACTGCTACCACTGTATGGGAATACATTTGAAACACTGGAAAAAAAAGTAGCAGACAGTGTGTATATTATGAGTTGTTCAGTGCTCTGCTGGATATCTTTTTTAAGTAGATGACTTCTAATATCAATGACAAACACTGATGTACTGAGTTGTAACACTTGATAAGGACACAATACATTGCTAACCACTTACTGCTTTGTTCTTTTTTTTTTAGGTCAAGATGTTGTTAAGTATAAAAAGTATCTTATGGATGTATTCTACATTAGTTATAACATCCATGCTACCTAAAGGTAAGTCTGTTATACACAGAACCATTTACTGAAACTAATTTTAGCCATTAAATCAGTAGGGTATTTCCCAGGACTTGGGAAACAGCCCATACTCAGGAAATGCAGTTTCTGGTCTTGCCTCTACCACTCTTTTTGCTGTATTTTGTAACTAACTTTGTTTTTGTTTTCTCCTTACTGCCTTACTAATTTATATAGAGATGTCTAGGTGGTGGGCATGTTTTTGACAAGGTATTCACATGCCTGTCTGATGTCTTCTGAGGTTTCTAACTCCCATTACTGTAAGGATAGCCATAGGATTACATTGTGTAAAGCAAAATAGATTGTTTTCTCCAAATATTCAAGGATGCATCCTTTAACCTGTGCTTCTGATATGATAGACCTGTTGGGCAGATATATCTTGTACTTTCATTTTCCATGATCCACTAAGGAGCTCCTTGCAGCAGGTGAGGTGAGGTCTGATAGGAGGTGCTGATTTTAGTGGAGGACAGACACATTCCATGGGAGCTTCAGCCTGGTGCCACAGGGGGAGCAGTGAGCAGTGCTGCCTGCATGGGAGCAGGAGCAGGTTCCTGAGATAGTCATAGCCAGGCTGCAGAAATGGTCCATGAAATGGAGGAGTTTTTGGCCTACAGGAGGAGTAGTCTAAAAAAAGGGGAAAAAAAGGGAATAGCCCAAAAAACACCAAATAGGAAAGTCTGGCATACTTACCAGTCATATCCCAAAGTGCTCATGTAGGTTGTGCCACAACAGCCTCTTGGGTCTGTAGTCATAGCTTGCACCCTCTCTATTCAGGGTGAAAGTTGCCATGTGACACTGGGATACAGTGGAAACCAGTGGCCCTGTTTCTGCTTTGCTCTGTGATCTGTTGAGGAGCAGTTGGGGCCATGCCTCTAGAGTGGGCAGTCTGGCTGTCAGCCTTCTGTTGTGGGGCAGGCTTCCATGAGCTAACATGGGGGGCAGATCCCTTGACTGCTGGGATCTGGAACAAGGATGTGTTAGAGCAGCTACAGGTCTTTGGTTTGGGTGGAAAGGAGGAATCCTTACTACTCTTGGTGATTACATGCCAACACTAAAGTATGTGTTCATGTGTGGTTGCCACAGTTATTAGAAAATTTGAATCAAATCTTTAGTAAGAGAAAGGTCCCTCTAGCTGCTGCAGACTCACAAAATTAAGATAATAGCTTTCCTAAACCTCAAAGCAATTTTTTTATTTCCCTCCCCACCATCTCTTCATTCCAGGAACTCTTCAAATGGACTTTGGCCTTTGGGAAAGTAAATTTATTTTTTTTCCCCCAGCTTGAACATTGTTGCTAGTAAAGTCTTTAGGTAGGCTGGTAAGATAGAGGAAAAGACCATTGTGCATAGTGAAGCCAATTGAAAAAAGAAAAGTGTTTTTTTTCCCTCAAGCAGGTTTAAAGCATCATCCTTTATTACTTCCTACCATCCCCTATAAAGCTGATTTTATTTTTTGAGGCTTCATTAAACATACAGCAGGCTGGGACAATTAGACTTGTCCTCAGGGACAACAAACTCATGACTTTGGGCTGAAGGCAAGCCACGAAAGCTCAGATCCATTTTCCTATTTGTGGGGGGCTGAGAGTTAGTTATTAAATGTCAAGCTTTTTTTTTTCTCCTCCCCTCAGTTTTTTCCTTAGTAAAATGTCTGTAAGTGTAGGCTGATGTATAGATCTTGGATCCACAGCTGACATGTAATGATTTGTTCATTACTTCACTGTGTGAAGCAGTCAGAGAGGCAGAGTAAGCAATTGTCAGAAATGCAATGTAAGTCTGCATGGTGAACTTGGAAGTTTTTATTGGATAAGCTACTTATGCTTACAGGAGGCTTATAAGAAGATAGAGACTTTTTACTGGAGTGGACGAGGTGCAACAGTTTTAAAATGAGAGTAGGTTCAGATTGGACATAAATTTTTTACAGTAATGATGGTGAGACACTGGAGCAATGTCTCACAGAATTTACAGGTAGGCCATCCATGGAAATGTTCAAGGTCAGGTTGGATGGGGCTTGGAGCAACTCAATATGCTGGAAATTGTCCCTGCTATGGCAGAGGGTTTGGATTTGATGGTGTATGAAGGTCCCTTCCAAACCAAAGCGTTTTGTGATTCTAAGTTGTAGCTTTCTTTAAGGCAGAAATCACAGAATCTTAGTAGTTATAAGGGACCTTGAAAGATCATCCAGTCCAACCCCCCTCCAGGGAAAAAAAAAAACAACCACAAAAAAACAATCCCCAACAAAATGCTGCTAGCAATAATTAGCTTCAAAATAGAGTAAAGGGTAGTATGTCAATCACATGAGGAGAGGCCTACCTGCAAATCAGCCTTAGGATGGAGAACATGTAAGGAGATAGAATAAAGCAAAGGAATCTGACATGAAATTTAAACTTAGCATTTGTTATTACCTATTGAAAGTATCTTCTTTTATAGGGCATAGTTCCATGGCCAGTCTAACTGCATTTGCTTTTCAGCTTTAGATGGAATAGTCCTGCCCTTTTTCTGTCCCCTAGTACTAGTTTTAATGCTTTCTTTTGTGCTGACAGTACTATTTATGTGGTGATATGGCCAGGTGAACCAGCGAATGATTTGTTTGAAAGAGCATATGGCATATCTTGCAGGTTATTTTTCCACTGAATCAGACATACTGTCTTGTGCAAATGCTGGGTCTGGCAGAATGCAGGGACTAGGAGTGCATCACTGGAGGTGGGGAGAAACAGGATGGATCCTTTAGATGTCTCCTGACTTTTTCCACCTTTTATTAACTCTTAAATGGCTCCTGTTGTCTCCAGAATAGAATTTTTAGTACTTAAGCGAGTTCTGTGTGAACATTCCAGTAAGCGCTTCTCAGGAATATAGCCCAGCTGCTGGCTAGTCCCAATTTGCCTGAATCTTTCAGAAGAGATTCAGAATGACCCTTGTGTTCCTAGAACACACTGCAAAATTTGTGTGTTTTATTTTTTAAGCTGGAGACCACAATTTTTTAATAGTCTTAAACATGTTTAACATATGGCCACGGTGAAGAAGAGAAAGATGGGAACATTTTTCTTTTTCATGAATTGATCCAATAGAGTCTGTGGGATCAACTCATGTTCTTCTATTTTGTCAATCAGTCTGTGTAGAAACATTTTTGAAGACAAATGTTACAAGTTTACTTAAAATCTTTACAAGTACAGCTGTTTTTATTGTTGTTTTTTAAGAAAATACTCTAAAAACATCTCTACATTTTAAAGGGTTAAACATCTTAAGATTTTCTTCTTAGATCCTGAATTTGAATATAAAATTTAAGACTTTAAATCTTTCATGAAACACAGGTTCCCAATATTACATTTCCACAATGGATTGGATCAATCCATGTGGTTTAGTTCAATTTAACGAAATAGTCATTTCAATATAATGCATTGCAATATTTCCTTTAAAAAGTTTTCAGGCAAAATTTTTCTGAAAGTTTTACATTTTTCTGTAGAGAACCATATGGGAAATTTGTCAAAATCAGCAGCTATTTTAAAAGTGTAAATCCTGGAGTTTGTGAGTCTTAATATTAAGTCATAACAAAACTGAAGCTTAATTTGGAGCACAGCAAGATAGAAGATGGTCAAGTTTTATGCATTCACCACTATTTGTTATTCCCATCTACCTTTTCTCTTCCACTTCTCATCTTTGTGAATGGTCATGTTCATAAATACCTTGCATGTTTGCATGGCATGCTCATTAGATTTTATGTAGCCACAGAAGTATTTTTCCTTTGAGGGCAAATTGAAAATGGTCTTGCATGGCTTCTTTGAGGCTTTAAATTCTAAGAAGATGTGTGTCAAGAAGGCAGCAGGAAATATGGTATAAGCTTCTGGGGTCATGGGAGTGCCCCTCTGTGAGACCCTTAGTGTTTGCTCTGGTACATCTGAAGGATTACTGACAGAAGTTCACAAGCAAGGTTTACGCCTACTGCAAGCATGGCATGTGCTCCCTTTGAGCAAGCTGGTGTTAGGATATTGGGGTTTACAAGATGGACCTTGTGATTTATGATCAATGTTGAAGTTTATCTTACCCGTTTTAAGTGTTTATTTGTCATGCCATGAGTGAGTAGGCTTTCATGAAAGCCTTGTAATCCAGAAGAGAGTAGAAACCCCCTAGGTTTCAGTGTGTGGCATGTTCTTTCAAAAGTATAGAATTAATACACCTATTTAAACATCAGTTTAACAGATCATGTTTATGTTCTCTATGTGCTATAAAACGTGTGTGCATGCCTGTGATGGCTGCCTCACTCTATGCCTCTTTCTCTTTTTCTGCTTGCTCATACAAATTGCCTGATAAAGAACTCGGTGAGGGTTTTTCTTGGGTCTCATTCTGTTACCTTTGTTGCATATAACGGTGCATTCACTTTAATTTGTCATTATCTTCATTAAAAGATTTATGGTTAATTAAAAGATTAGGCTCAGTATTAGTAATCAGATTAACAGAACACATAATTTTGTTGATCCTTTCTGTTGCTACTGGTAGGCAGGGCAGTGTAACACATATCTAGGCAGGTTGTTGATGAACTTAAAAATGAGATTCAACTGTTTTGTGTCCTAAATTTGGCTTAAAATAAATATATTTTATTCTTTAAGCATGGAGTTTTTGTCTGCCTACTCAGCAGCAACATTCTGTACAGTTAGCTTATTTACATAGAAAAATTGCCTCTCTAAGCAGTGTTACTTCATGTAGGGTATTGTTTTCTTCAGGCTTGTTGTTCATTACAGATCTACTGGTCTGGTTGCTGTGGCTAATGTAACAGATGCAAGCCACTAGTGCAAAATTCTATCTTTTTTAATTTTTATTTTGTTTTACAATTTATTTTTAAAGAATTCTTTAACATTTTCAACATAAAAAAAAATACAAATTCTAGGGAAATATGTTTTGTTCTCAAGCAAGAAGTCCTTCAGTAGCTTGTATCCCACTTAAAAATAAAGATATCAAAGTACTGTAATTCGTAGGACTTTGCAACTGAAGTCCTCCCTTGCAACTGGGAGGACTGGGAGGACAGTTTTTGCTGGGTAAAAGAAGCATAACAAGGAAAACTGATTTTTTTTATTTTTATTTTTTTAAAGAAAGAGTATGCTACATGCCATCATCCCCATGCTAAATTGACACAAATGCATAGCCATAGCTTTAGGTTTGGAACAGTAATAAGATGTGGCAAAATCCTACCCAGTAAATTAGACCTGACAAGACTGACTTCTGTCAGGACATAGAAGCAGATTTTTTTTCTACATGCTGTTCCTGCTACTTATTCTGATGCTGGGAATATTTAATATTTAAACAGAGGAAGACAAAAATGCTATTACTATTTTTTTTTTTTCAATAGAGAAAAGCCCCTCCCTCTCCCTTCTCCTCCCTCTTCCCTCTTCAAAACAAAGTTCTTTTATATAGTGTTTTATAAAGCTTTCTACAGTTAGATGGGAATGTTTGAGCCACATAGTCTCCTTTTCTGGGATGCAGCCCAATTTAGGATAGATTAGTTTGCATATCATGATGGTATGTGCTGTTTGCCAAAGATTTTAGTCTGATGACGTGAAAACAAAATTTTAAAGAGGAAATTTCCTCAGGGTTCATTCTCAAAAGTTTATTAAAATTCTGTCAGTCAGGATAATTATAACTAGGTAATTTTTCATTTAAGAAGTTCCTGTAATGTATATAGATGACAAGAGATCATAATAAATACTAAATATTTTCAGACTGATTTTAATCTCCCACCTGTGAATACTGGCAGTAATTCCATCACAACAGATAGGACTGAGTATTCATTCTGTTTCTTTATCTCTACTCCACTGTAACTCAGTGAAGTTTCAAGAAATTAAAAGTGATATAAAAGGCAGTGGTGTTTCCATAGTGTATATTTTCAGGATAAAATCAGTTATTTCTAGTTTTTAGAAGGCAGTTGATGCTGGTTGAGCTGAGTAATTATTCCCTTATGGCAAACAAAAAAAAGAACCTTGGTGAATTTCCCCCCACCCCCTAGAGAAATATGTATTCAGTAAAAGCTTTTCAGGTAGTCTTTAGTCTTCAGTAACTTCTACAGGTTTGTCTTCAAGCCTTCTGAATTCTCCAGTTGTCAGTTTTGTATTGGACCTGTTTTTGTCCTTCCTATTTTACAAATAGATTCTTGCTAGGTCTAAACCTGAGATGTATGAAGTGATTAGTTGGGTTGACTAATAAATGTGAGTCGCATTGTCACTGGTCCCTGTTTACAAGTTAATGGAATAATGAGAATCTCACCACATCTGAATTGCAGAGTGAGCACCTTGCTGGTAAGTGTGCTCAGACAGTGCTGTTCTATATGAATTTTCCAGCTGAGTTTTGGGTGCCAGCAGCTGGTTTTGGCATAGAACTACCCCATTATACTCTCTCTGGTCTAATCAGTTTTGATAAAGTAATCTTGAGTGTATCTGCATTGTGTTCCCAAGAATTTCTAGTTAGGTAGGCATGGGTGGGAAGGACCTAAGGACTTTCATTCAAACTTCTGGGTCTTCCTTGTTCAGTCCATTTTTTGGGGTTTGTTTTTCTAATTAGTACTTTATTATTAAAAGGCTTGGTCATCAAGCTGATGATTCTTGTATTTAACCTTTATAGATAATAGTATTAATACCTTATCCTGTACAAAGTAATCTGTCTCTGTCAAAATAATCAAATTAATGACAAATTATTCTTTTTTTTTTTTTTCCTTCTTCCATCCGCCCCCAAAAGCCCCCACCAAAATAAAACAAAAAAACAAGCCAAAACCCAAAAAACAAACTTCTGTTCTTTATGGGGAGATGATATGTCTGATTACAGATAAATAGCTAGATAATTTTTGTATGACGGTGTGTCCTATTTCATGTCTTAGTCTGTTGGTGGCGTATATTGAAGTTTTATTGATCTTCTAGAATGTACTAGTTTTAGCTCACTTCAAATTAATGATTAGCATGTTCCACCTTTCAAAAAATGTTAAGAGTGCAGGACAGTGAAGGAGGTAAGATAGATACTGTTGTGCATAAGCTTTTAATCTTCATTAAGCCATTATAAATGGTGAAATAATGTGCCATTAAAAAACATAAATCTGACAGAAAGAATCTCTTCAGATGGTTGCTGTGTGCAGGTTGGATGAACAGTAGTCAACTTTCCCCTCAGGATAATGTCAGATGGAAGCATTTCACTGTAAAGTGTTTGCAGCTGGAGATGTCATAAAAAATGATAATGGTCCTATCATGTCAAGTCTGAGCCAAGCAGGGATTTTCTGTGCCCTGCACTTCCTTCTTTGCTTTAACATCCTTAAATACTTCATATCTGTAATGTGTTAAAGTCCTTGAGGCTACAAGGAAATAATTTTAAAAGAATAACTTTTTGGGATAATCTCTCTGGGAAGGCTTTTGTTTCAGCATGTATGCAAAAAAATGAGTTAACCCTTGAAAGAATAATGGAGTAAGGGATGTCATGTATGCAAAATCATGGGCTAAGTTATACTCTTAGGACAGGAACAAATGAGCAAGCTATTGTGAGGCCAGGTTAGGTGTAAACATGAGTTGCTCCCCTGTGTCCATGCTTTTGGCTAGCAGTAGAAGTGAGCTCACCATCTTTCACACAGAATGGTCTTCCTTCTATGAAGTAAAAAAAAATCATAGCTTTTACTGTTCATCTCTCATCTAAAATGTCAAAACAGTTTCTGAAGATGGTAAAAAACTAGGTGACTGTAATAAGTGGAGAAAACAAGTCAGAGACCAGTGCATTACTTTTGCCCAAACATAAAAGGGCTCCACCTGCAGCCCATGATATTAGCACAAGCTTTTTTAGTTTACGCTAATCAGTCTTGCTACAGGTCAGCTAAGTTTCATGGATTTCAGGTCTTGCATATTTGTGAATAATTAAATAACAATTAAATATATCTGTTTCAAATTTTGCTGTTCCACTAATGTGTTTTCTTTCTCCTTTCTTTCCACCCTCCCTCCCCTTTTTCTAGTTAAAGCAGAAAAAAAAGCCCTGGTAAAGGGATCCCTCTCTGGAACTTCAGTCCTGCCATGCTTCTTTTCAACTACACCCACTATAGCCTCCAGCTATGCAGCTGAGTATCTTCGAATCAAATGGTCTAAGGTTGAACTGGATAAAAGTGGAAAGGATGCAAAAGAAACCACAGTCCTGGTAGCCCAAAATGGCAACATCAAAATAGGTCAAAGCTACAAAGACAGAGTGTCTGTTCCCACCAATTCAGAGGAGAGTGGAGATGCTTCCCTGACTTTCTCTAAGCTGCGTGCGAGTGATGCGGGAGTGTATCGCTGTGACGTTATGTATGGAGTGGAAGACACACAGGGCATTGTATCACTGGCTGTGGAGGGTAAGGACTTCTCTGTTTCATTTCTAGTCAACAGTGACGCCAGTTAAAATGGAAAAGTTAGCGATTAATGTATAACTAGATAGCATTTAAAGGAGTGTCTTTAACAATTTACCCTTCACTAAACTGGTCACTCTGCCCATTATCTTTCTGTATTTTATTATACTTATGAATCTTTTCTAGTCCATAGCTATCTTATTTCTCACGACTTTTGAGGAGGCTACTCTTGTTTCCTGGAATAAACACTGTTTGCTTATTTCCAAAATAGTTTGATGCTTTAATTGGATTTACAACCTTTCCAAGACAAGCTCCTTCTTTTCATGTTCTTTTTTTTTTTTTTTTTTAGACATGGATCTTGCCTTTCTACACCTTGCAAAATGTTTTTCTGCACTTACTATAATGAAATGGAATTCCCCAGGCACCAGTCCCAGGGCTATTTGGTATCTTTTATAAAAGTTGTATATCTTGCATTTAAACATCCTGAAATCTTAGAGCACTCTTAGAGCAGGCGAGAAGCCCTCCACCTCCTTCTATGAAGTGTGAAAAAGAAGAAGAATTTCAGTTGTTTGAAATATATGAGCCATCTCAGCATGACAAGGACATGGTCCTTGAACTTACTGAGGCACTGACATTGCTTTCTTTGCCTTTGAGAAAATGACAATGTCTTTATGTCTCTGCCATCTGACATCTGGATTACTAAACCAAGAATATCTGTAGATTCTGTGGGGCCAGATGATGCTACTCTTTGTGTCAGCGCTGGCATAGAGCTGGCTGTTATGAGCAGCCTTAATCTTTTTTTCATCTATTTTAGTACCTACTCTTACATGATAGGTCACGGGTGTTTTTAATTATTTTTAGGAGATACCTCTGAAGTTTTCTCAAACCATTATTTTTGAAACATGATACATATTGTACTAATATATCTGTCTGAAAATGTCAGTGTCTTTACAAGAAGACAGACTTGGCAAGCAAAAGCAGTTTTTTGTTTGTGTAGGATGAAAGGCAACAACTACCTTGCTACCGAAGCTGTGGTTGGCCTGTCTTACCACTTGATGTACAGAACCATAATGCCAACAGAACTGGGAGGCTCTTTTTCTGTGATAGGAATGTCAAGCACAAGGGAAGAGTTTCTTTGGTTCCAATAATAAAAGTTGGATAGGTAGGAGGAAATCCATCTGACAGAAGCTGCAGGAAAGCAAATATGGGGGTGGCTGCTAATGTGGAGGATCCAGGGTGAAGAATTTGCTTGTCATCACTATAAGGAAGTAGCCTCTAAAACGATGAAGTTGGAGACAAGACTTTGAAAAGCTTGTAAGTGGCTAAAGGAGCATCTGATCTGTAGATGTTTTTCTCTTACGAGCCTGCTTATACAGCACAATAAATACTATATAGAGACTGCTGCAGAGTCTGGTGCTATATAGCCCTCTTAGATTGGCACTGAGCCTGAGCTAACAAGCTGTGCTGAAAGGAAGGACGTATTAGCCCTGGCTCTGTGCCATGTAAAGGCAAATTCTGGACCCAAGTTACTCTGTGTGCTTAGAACAACACTGCTGTGTGGATGTACTAGCTCGCGTGAGTCTTAGTTTGGACTCTGCCTCCTTTGCAGTTAGGTGTTTTCTGAAAGTTCAGTGTTTACTCAAATGATTAAATCCCAAAGCAAACATTAATATCTACTGCTGAAAATTATGGCTTTGGCTAGGATTTTTTTTATGAGCTTAATACTGCATTGTTCTCCCAATATGCTTAACCTAACTTGAACAGTTTTGGCATGGATTCAGTGAAAGATTTTTAAGGTGTGATCTTAATTTGGAAATATAATAAATCAGTGTAACCATTAATGTCTGTTTAACTTCATAAACTGTTTAGTCATAATGACAAAAGCAAAAGCAATCCTGGTTTGAACATTACTTTTCAGTCAGTAGTGTACCTGGCATTCCTTACTCCTTTTCAAGTGCTCCCTTGACTACATATCTATATCCAGCAGCAGCAGATGTTTACTACAATAAAATATATGATGATTAATGGTAATATATTAGCTTCTGTGGTTAATGTTCCTGTAAAACACTGGAATGAGATCAGATATTTTTTTGAATTGGAAGACAATTTCACACACCCCATTTTCTTTCTGCAACACTTCCTTTCCATGACTGCTTTAATGTCAAAATTTCAAGAGGGGGGAAATAGCTAGATCTTGATCCAAATGGAAAACAGCATGGTTAGATTGTCATTTGTGCACTCCCTTTTTCATTTTCTACATTAGGTAAGCAGATCATTTATCAGACTCAGAAGGATTTCAGGTGAATGTTGCTGCTCAAATATGCCACCCTCATTTCAGTCAAGCTTTACATGTTTGGGTTTTTTTTTTTTAATTTAAGATTTTACTCAAAAATTTAAATCGTTAGTATATTATATATGTATATATATATTTAAAAAAAGACAAATGCAAAAAACCATCAGTCCCAAATGTAACTTCTTTCCAATGTGTTGTCTTTTCTAATCCATATGCCCAAGTGATAACCGTTGGAGTGACTTTGATCTTCTGTACGCCCTTTTTGTGCATTCCTGGCTGCCTGTGGCTACTGTGGTGTGGGGATGTCTTCCCACACTAATTGTGGTAACTTCAGAGCTCTGCAGGGCTCAGCCTTGGTCAGCAATCCTGCATGCAGCTGGGACATGCAGGGCGATCCATGAAGTCCTGGTAAAATTATCACCAGTTTAGCTGTTCTGCATGTTTTAAACTTACCACAATTTAAACATAAAATGCATTTGTGGAACACTCCTTTCCCAAGGACTAAGCTGGCATGTGTTGGTTTACCTTTTTAGTGTAAAGGTATGCAGTGGTAACCCTGGCTCAGGTAGGACTTTCTTGATCATATAGCTTAACCATAAAGTCGTACAGAGTAATTTTATTAAAGGTAGAAAGCATCTTCAAAAGTCCCTGTGGGGGTGAATTTAGATGTGGGAAGAAATGTTACTAATGCTTCAGAAAGTTCTTCTGTTTCTCTAAGTGTCACCACTGTTACATGTGTTAAATCTAATTTAACAAATGCCTCAGGAATGGCCTAATGAAGTAGGCCAAAGTTCATCTGCATAATTTTGCTAAAGAAGGTGAAATTGCTCTTTTGTTATCATAATCACTTCATGGGATTAATATACTTGTTTTTTTGGATATTTTTAAATCAATGTAGTGGAGTTACGGATATTTCAGGATTTCTATTTGTTTTGTGGATATTCCTTAATTTTAAACTTTCAAACAAGAAGTATATTCCAGCATTGATGATGCCAGGTAAATAAGTTAGACAGCTGTGCTGTTTTTCAAATGAATTTTTGCAAGTAAGATAAAAGATAAGTGGGAAAGATAACTTGAATAAGAAAAAAATATACCCTAATTACTATTTTTGTCCTTCTGTTTAGGTATGTTAGGAATATAAAACTGCTATTGAGGCTATTATGCATCAAGTGAATGTATTATACCAGTAATGGAATGTATTGCAAATGAAAAGCGGGATTTCTAAGGAAGTAGTTTTCTCTCTAGCATAGTTTTTCCCAGGTTAAGCTGTACAAGGTGAACAGTTGGTATTAGTCATTGAATGTAAACAGTAAAACTTTCAATACCTTTTTTTTGAGGCAGAAGTATCTTAGACAATCCTACATAGATTGGGTTTTGTAATTTTTTTTTTTATAAACATGCAAGTTTTAATATCCACAGATGGACTCGTGGTTAACCCACCACTTAACCCCAGCTAACTGAGTTTTTGTTCACAAGAAAGATATATGTTTAATCACACACATTGCCTTTGTCTCTACATTGTATTTTTCTACTACACCCTGTTTTGGCAGATAAAATATTTCTGAAGAATGGCACAATCTTGGAAACTGCCTTAATTCTGTTATTTTTCTTTGCTTTGGATATAGACACAACCTATTTCAACTACTTGGGTATCAATTGCTGCTTATCTTCTGCTCAGCAAGAGCTCAGAGACATCACCAACACACTGTGGCTCAGTATCATGTATCCACTGATCAGTGCTTACCTGTGTGTAGATCATTAGCTTGTGATAGGGGTGAAATAATTTGATTTTAACTCTGTTTAAACTGCTAAGCTTAAAGCTAAGTCTAAACTGCCTTATTTCCACCAGGGCTGTAGGAGCGGTTGTGTTCTTGTGATGAACCGGCATGTCTCAGTTGTGTGTACAGTCCTGGGGATCTGACCTGGGAAAGTCATAGCAATGTGGGACTAGAAGGACAATACTCGGTCACTTGACCTAGTTCTTTTGGTGTTGCAATTAACCATGTTATGGGCTGTGCTACATGCCTTTATTAATCCCAAAGTCAAACGAGAGCACCTGTTCACGTGAGTTATCAGGTGCTTCGCATATTTCCTCTCTGAGATCAGTGGGGTTTGATTAAACTGTACTCTATATGTTGCTATTTCATTTTACAAGCTGGTGAAAGTGTAAGACAGAGGAGTGAAACACTTAATTTTAGCCCACGCAGAAAGTTTCTGTGCAGCCAGATGCCTGCCCTGGTCATTAATCGCAGCCGCAGAGCTGTCCTTAAGGCGGGGGACAGCTTCAGTGCTGACAGGTCTGCAGGCTGTTTCATCACACTGGTTATATCCTTTCCTGTTACTGACTGTGGGAAATGCTTTCCTTGCACCCTGGTTGCTGCTATAATTACATTAGCCTCTCAGACAGGGGTATATTTTATTCGGAGTGGATCCAACAGTATTACAATGTTACATGCTTCAACCTCCTACAGGAAGAGAAATGTACAGAACGAGTCATTCATGTTCATTTTTCCTTCCATGTGTTGTCTTCTCTGCACATCCCTCTTAAATCCCTC